AACTGAATCAGTGATGTGGAAAGCAAACATGAGTTCTCCCAAAAGGTAGAGAAGAACAAAGGGACCAAAATCATGAGAAAGATGGTGAAAACAATGGAGGACAGTGAATAGAGCAAACACTCAAAGTCAGTGTTCTTGAGAAAGAGAGTCTAGAAAACCAACAGGAGGAAATATCTACACTGCAGATCAAAAGTGGTCACCAAGCACCAGGCAAAATTAAAATGAAAGGATGGACACTGAGCTACACTTTGATGAAAATTTTAAATGGAAAAGGCAGAGACAGGAGTCCGACAAGCATCAAAACGAGGGTAGAAAGATCACTGTATTACAAAGAGATGATCTGGGCTGGCCTCAGACTTCTCCATCAGAGGCCAATGGGCCAGATGGTGGTCATTCCATAATTCTACACATGTGATTAAACTGTACAGAACTACTACTACAACTCCTACACACACACACACACACACACACTGTGTGTACATATAAAAACTGGTGAAATCTGAATAAAATTTGTACTCTAGTTAATAGTAGTGTGCCAATGTTAATTTCCTGGTTTTGATATTATATTATAGTTGTATAAAATGTTATCATTGGCAGAAGCTGGGTGAAGGGTCCATAGGATCTGTCTATACTATCTTGGCAACTTCCTGTAAGTCTATAATTTGTATTTTTTTAAGACAGTAAATCAAGGATCAAGGTCTACTAAAGAGATTTGAAAGAAAAAAGAATTCCATACCCCAGGAAGTTGCTGGTCATAGGTGAAAGCAATGAAAAGTCATTCCCCATTATGAAAATAACATGCAATATCGGAAGATTCAAAGCAAGAGCTAAAATATCTGAACATTTTCTTTCATGAATCTAAGTTGTGAAAATGGGCAATCATGCTCTATAAGGTCATGCTCTATAAGGTCTATGATGAGCACTGAAACTAGTTAAGAAGAATTCAGTTTAAGTAATTTGCTATGAAAATGATTCTAAAACCAAAAGCAAAGATCTATGTTTAAGGAATGATACATGATAAGAAAATTTTCAATAAGAAGAAATTAGGGGGCTTCCCTGGGGGCACAGTAGTTGAGAATCTGCCTGCCAATGCAGGGGACACGGGTTCGTGCCCCGGTCTGGGAAGATCCCACATGCTGCGGAGCAACTAGGCCCGTGCACCACAACTACTGAGCCTGCGCGTTTGGAGCCTGTGCTCCGCAACAAGAGAGGCTGCGATAGTGAGAGGCCCGCGCACCGCGATGAAGAGTGGCCCCTGCTTGCCGCAACTAGAGAAAGCACTCGCACAGAAATGAAGACCCAACACAGCCAGAAATAAATAAATAAATTAATTAATTAAAAAAAAAAGAAGAAGAAGAAATTAGGCCTAAAATCTCAGAACATACCCAAAAAAACCTCTGGAAAATAGATTTAGAAAGTGGAAAGTGTGGGACTTCCCTGGTAGCACAGTGGTTAAGAATCCACCTGCCAATGCAAGGGACACGGGTTCGGTCCCTGGTCCAGGAAGATCCCACATGCCGCGGAGCAACTAAGTCCACGTGCCACAACTACCGAGCCTGCGCTCTAGAGCCCACGAGCCACAACTACTGAGCCCACGTGCTGCAACTACTGAAGCCCATGCACCTAGAGCCCATTCTCCGCAACAAGAGAAACCACCACAATGAGAAGCCCAGTCACCGCAGCAAAGAGTAACCCCTGCTCGCTGCAACTAGAGAAAGCCTGCGTGCAGCAATGAAGACCCAACGCTGCTAGCTAATCTCCTTATCTTATTGACACATGGGAGGCAAAAACATATGTTCTGTTTTATTTTTTATGTTGATACTAAACACGTGGTTTAAGACCCTTACAGCTATCTTTTAGCACAATAAAGAATTGCTATACTAGTTATAAAAATAAATACAAATAGCTTACACTTCTCTGTTACAGACAAAAACTTTAGATTAGCTAAAAGGTTTCCCCCATATGCTTTGTCCATCTTCCAATTTTTTTTAATTAATTGTATCCACAAGTGATGCACCAAAAGAATTCAACAAATAAAAGATAAAATTTTTTTCAAATGGGCAAAATATATCAAGGAAACAGAAACACAAGATAGTAGGGATGGCACTGTCAGTATCAGACAATAAGAAGAAACTTCTGTTACCTGGTATTAGAGCCCATTATAAAGCAACTGTAACTAAAAATAGCTTAGCAATGACATAGTAATAAATGGATCAAATGAACAGAAACAGAACTTAGTGTATAATAACAGTGTAAAAGAAGATGGTTATAATAAAGTTAGCCTTTTAAATCAATGAGGAAAAGAATGTTTGAAAATCAAAGACAGAAACAATTGGTTATTTAGAAAAAGGAGGAATTCCTTATCTTATATCATATACTAAAATAATTCCAGTTGAGTTAAATGCAAAAATTAAACAAAAGATTGAGAATAAAAATGTATTTATCTGAAAGGCCTTTCCAAGTACATATTTGTGTGCTAACAATAATCCCACTACAAACAACATGCAAGGCAAATGATAAATTGAGGGAAAATATTTGTAACAAAATGAAAATCATTAAGAAAAGGACAAACACCCTCTAACTATATAGGCAAAAGACATGATTAGATTATTCACACACACACTCCCTCCCCAAATTCAAACATTCATTAAAAGCACGGGAAAAACTCATCACTAATAACAAAAGAAGTACAGGTGAAAACAACTATATAATAACTTGGGAGTGTAAATATGTATAACCTTTATGGAGGATAATTTGGCAATAGCAAAGTAACATAAGCAAATTATACCTTTAAGTATCTTTAAATTCAAGTACTGTAAGCTTTAAACTTGCTCATGGTTTTTTGAGAAGTCATATTAAGGAAATAAAATATGTGTACTAAAGTATCTGCTCCAAGTGCGGGGGGTGAGCACAGCAGTCATAAAGTGGCCAGTGGATTAGCCCAGCCCTGCCACTTGGGTGACCAGCAATAAAACGATGTCAATAAAATCACCCACATTTTAGAGCTTTCTAGAGATCTGAAGAGAGAATTATGGGTGCCTGGCCCATGGGAATTGTTCAGTAACTATTAGACACTGATAGAAGGGGTGGCGATATTTATCTACAATCCTGCACTAACAGGTTCAAAATCCCTTATCTGAAATGCTTGTGGTCCAACTGCGGTGCTTCAGAACTAAGACCTTTTTGGATATGAAAAGGTAACAGTATATTTACCTAACTAGGTCTGGGAGAGCACCTAGTAATCAATTACATCACTATTCCTAGAGTAAAATATATGAATATTCATTCTAAGTGAGATAAACATCAGTTCAGGTCAGGTTTTGCAGTCAAATGAGTTATAGAAAAACTTTTCGTTTTTACAGCTTTCTGGACTTCAGATTTTTACAAGAGTGATTAAGAACCTATATTTATAACAGAGGAACATTAGAATCTATCTAAACATATGATAATAAGGGGAAGGTTACATAAATTATGATACATTCATAAGATGGAAAACTACACAGCTATAAAAAGTCACTTTTTCCAAAGAATATTTAATAAACTGGGAAAATGTTCATGAATAGCAGGTAAAAAAAAGCAAAATAAAAAACACGAATTATGAATTCTATTTTGCAAAAGTAAATTATATAATATTCCAGAATAAAAGACTACAAGGAACCATACAAGGACGTTAAATTAACCACATTGTGGTTAACCACATTAACCACATTATGTTCTTCCTTATACTTGTCTGCATTTTCTAATCTTCTATGATAATCAGGAAAACAATCCATTAATTTTTGAACTATTTATGGTTGCTGTTCCTGCGTAGGACTAGGCTAGTTCTTATCCTAGAGGGTTAACAAGCCCATCTCTACTCTCAAGGATTTTACCAACGCATCTCTGGAGAGCTGAGGGCATTACTCAGTTCTCTCCACATGAGAATGCAGTTCATTCTTCATCAGCACTTCCCCACTGGCTCCTCAGGACAACTTGACTCAGGCACCAGGACTTTTTCACACCTCTACCAAATGAAACCCTGGTGACCTTGCAAGTTAGTGATAAAAATGGCATCAGTGCTACAATAAGAACTTGGTTCAACCCATGACCTTATCTAAAGAAGCTAAAAAAGAAAAAAAGAAAAAAGCAGGGACTGTTTAAACGTATTTGATTTTCACTTTTTTACTGTACTCATCAAATCGGAATCATTTAAGAAATTATGGGGGAGGAGGAGAAGGTGATTGCATTTGGGTTTGTTCCAGGTGCTTCGCATGAGTAAAAGGATATGAACTTGAACTTGACAGACCCAGCAATGAAAAGCATTTTGTGGAGTTAGTGGGATGCTAAGAGAGATCACGACATTGGTTCGTGGAGAGGACAAGCAAGAGTTCATCTTACCTAACAGACCACTCATCAATGTCTAAGGGGTGGTCTTTGGCCAAAGCTTTAAAGGGCTCAGCCGTATTTAGTGTGGGTGTTCCTAACACCCAGGTGGTCTTCACTGAACTCCACCCAGGTCTGGAATTCTCCAGTGGTTTAATACACAGTTTGAAAACATTTTATACCAAAAGGCTTTATGTTATAAGCCTCAATTCCAAACATGGAACAAAAGAGATAAATGATCCATCAGCCTACACCTAATCACCTAAAGGGACCACACGGGTTGACATTTAATCACTTTTACATAGATTCCAATAGTCTTTTTAAACTATTGCTGAGAACACGAGAAATCCTTGTGCAAAGCTTTTGCCACACATAAATAATAGCCAACTGTGAAGTTATATAAGAAGTTAACTCTCTTAGCTTAATCCCACAGAAAATTACTTGTTTGCAGGCAAATTATCCACTGGGGATACTTTTTTATTTGTGGAGTGCTAATCCTTCCCTCCTGCTTTCTGCCACCCTTCTTTTCCTCCTTCCTCCCAACCTGAAGAGAAGGAAGATAAAGTAAATGTGCACAATCCCCCATTCAATCAGGACCTTGGTTAAAATAAAGACCTTCCAGGAAAAAGGTGACTTACTCTATCCCAGCTGAAACACAGGCCCAGTCGATCAAGTTGTTTCCTCATGTGTCTAATATTACTGCGAAACAAAGGGAAAAGAGTTTGGATTTTAGAAACAGGAAAAGCCATAAACAAACTACACTTTGAGAATGTGAAAAGGAAACTGGAAAAGTCTAGATTATTTCAAAGGGCTTTAAGTGTTGTTTCGCCCTGGCGAAGAAATTAATTACTAAGAATCCGTGAAAATATCTGCCTAGTAGAAGACATCTATTCTTTGGACCCTTGCAAAATCCACTAAAAACCATGATAGTCTTTGGTCCTAGGGACTAACCCTTTCCCAGGCCATTCAGGAAGGCAACCCTTCTGATCTGTGCACTCCTGGCCCATCCATATGCCTGTATTCTGCACAAATTTAAGCCAAGCATTTACAAATTTAAAAGCGACTGAAAAGAAAAATCTTAACATACAAATTGCGGGAATCCAGGAGGAGCCATACAGTGCTTTGTCAATCAAAACCTAAAACCGAAAACTCTCCAACAATTGGAAAAGAGGAGAGAAGTAAATTAATCAACTTTAATATAATATGAAATATTATTTACTTTTTTCTATTTAAATTTTTTAAATTAAAAAAATTTTTAACTCTTTATTGAAATATAGTTAATTTACAGTGCTGTGTTAGTTTCAGATATATAGTAAAGTGATTCAGTTATACATATATACATATAAGTATATTTTTCAGATTATTTTCCATTATAGGTTATTACAAGACAGAGTATAGTTCCCTGTGCTATACAATAGGTCTTTGTTGTTTGTCTATTTTATATACAGTAATATGTATATGTTAATCCCAAACTCCTAATTTATTCCCCCCGCCCCTCCCCACTATCCCCTTTGGTAACCATAAATTTGTTTTCTATGTCTGTGAGTCTATTTCTGTTTTGTAAGTAAGTTCATTTGTCTCATTTTTTTAGATTCTACATGTAAGTGATATCATACGATATTTGTCTTCCTTTGTCTGACTTCAGTTAATATGATGATCTCTAGGTCCTCTTTTTTCTTTTTAAAGAAAAAGGACTAATTAATTTCTACTGTGTCCCCTTTCAGTACAAGCAGACTGAAAATATGGAAAACCATGAAGAAGTTCTCTAGGTGATCTCTGATTAGCTAACAATAGCTTATTTTAATTCCAAGCCTCATGTTAAGCATTTTACAGAAAAGTGCTTGCAACAGACTGAATGTTTGTGTCTCCCTCAAATTGTTATGTTAAAACCTAATCTCCAACGTAATGGTATTTTGAGGTAACCAAAGGTACTATGAGAGGTAACCGGATTAGTGCCTTTATAAAAGAGACTCCAGAGAGCAACCTTGCCCCTTCTACCATGTCAAGACACAGAGAGAGGACAGCTGTCTATGAACCAAGAAGCAGGTCCTCACCAGACACCAAATCTGCAAGTGCCTTGATCTCGGACTTCCCAGCCTATAGAACTGAGAGAAATACATTTCTGTTGTTTATAAGCCACCCAGACTATGGTATTTTTGTTATAGCAGCTGACTAAGACAGTGCTTAATCTTTATCCATTCATAAGAGGTAGGAACTATGACTATCCCTCCTTTACAGATAAATAAACTGAGGCGGAGAGAGGTTAAGTAATTTGCTCAAGGTGAATGGCTAGGAAGAAGGAAAGGCAGGATTTGTACCTATGTGGCCTGATTCAGGGGCCATCTTCTTTACTGCTATGCTCTAGTTGGAGGAGCATACTACTCCTCCTTGGAGGAGTTGGCAAACTTTCTGTAAAGGACCAGATGGTAAATGTTTTCAGCTCTGTGAGCCATATGGTCTCTGTCACAACTACTCAGTTCTGCCATTGTATCATGAAAGCAGCCATGACCAATATATAAACAAATGGGTGTGGCTTGTGTTCCAATAAAACTTTATTTACAAAATCAGGCAGGGCCAAATTTGGCCCATGGAATTTGCCAGTCCCTAGCCTAGCTTACATCAAACTTATACCATATTTGACCCATTTTATTTAAATCATTATTTCCTCCTTTTTTCATCACTCCCATTACTCTAGAATTAACCATAATTGGAAAAGTGGAAACTAGGGATTAGGAAGAAAAAAGACAAATAGATGGTGCAGAAGATATTTCTTTTTACAATGTAGCCTTGGGCAAGATAAAGCAAAGGGAGGTGAAAGACAATGGGGATAGACTTTGAACCGGGTAGGGTGAGGAAAGGCTTTGTGAAAGGGGCTGGAGTGAGCCCAGAACATTCTGCTGGGTTCTGGTATAAGGCCCTCAAGGCTTTATCAGGAGGGAGAGGGATGGGCACTGCTGGCCCACAAGTACATGGAAGCCTGAGGCACAGTGGGTACTGAGAGTATGTCCTCCTTGAAGAAAGCCACACCCAGAATAAATTGGCCATATATTTCCTCGCTGAATATCTAAGTTCCTCTTCCTTCAGAATGGTGAAGGCAAAAAATTAACAGAATTTGCAGAGAAAATTATAATGTGGAATTTGTATATGGCTCAAACTACAGTCACGAAGATGAAGAGCACTGTAGAAATTTAACAAATGTCACCCTTTCCTTCTCCTTTTTCCTTCCAAACGCAAATACTCAAAGGAAGAATAACTAAATAACAAAGCATCAAAAGGAACACATGAATGATATCCAAACCCTCTTTGTTATTTCTTAGATAAGAATACAGTGTGCAAAAAGGCAAACACCAAATACAGACAATCCTGTTTATTGCTCGGCAGACTGCAATGTTTTGTTTGCTTTACTTTCTATTTCTTGTGCACAGGTTATAAAAATTGTTTAAGGGTTCTGTATACAAGTGCTTGAATATGCCTGTAAACACATACCTCTGTGTCCAACTTTCTGGATGTAGATTCCTCTCGATCGCAGCATTTTCGGCAGGCAATCCAAATGCATCCCATCCCATGGGATTGATAACCTAGCACCCAGAAAGGAAACATCAGCCGTGGCAGATTGCTAAAATCTTTATCAGTATTCTCTTCTGGGCAATGAGCAGGCATTCTCTCTTTCTAACACATCTTATCCCTTTCCTGGATGATTTCAAACTATGCTTTTGAAAGCCAGCTGGCTATCTAAGACGTAAGCACAGAAGAGAATTTAGAAGGTTATACACCAAGGTGCCAATAGCAGTTATCTCTGAGTAGGTATTTTCGTGACTATTTTTTACGTTCTTCTTCTTCTTGTCTGTATTGTGTGTAATGAACCCAAAGCGTTTTTCTGACATTATAAAAAGTTTCTTTTAATTTCAAAAATAGGTATATATAAAAATATATATAGGCATTCAAAATGCTCACCTCGTGTTAGATTTTCCAATTAAGGAGTTGTGCTGTCCAATAGGGTAGCCCCTAGCCACATGTGGTTATATAAATTTAAACTTAAATTAGTTAAAATTAATTACAATTTAAAATTCAGTTCCTCAGTCACACTAGCCACTTTTGAAGTGTACAATAAGCCACTCTGAATCACCTCCTATAAGATATTTCCATTTTCCAAAGAACAGGGGATCCTAAGATCTCAGAGCTCGAAGAAGCTTTTGAAACATATCCTCCATCCCCACTCCTTTATTTGACAGTCCAAGCAACGATGGACCAACAAGAGTAAGCAGCCCAGCTAGGTCACACCAGAAGCAATTACTTCAGACCAGGATAGGCACTCATTTCTGCAAATGGATGACCAGTCACAGCTCAGCTGGCAGCTTCAATAGGAAGTTCTCTCAACCTAACTTACATGCCATGAATGGGAACAATGGCTTGAAACACAAGCTGTGGCATCAAGGGACAGACTCAGAAGGCTGGGCTCTCTACCCACTGCCAGGCAGGACACCTGCTTTGAAAACTCAGACTCCTACCCTTCTCTAATGCTGATTTTCAGCCACAAAGCCATAACCACAGCTTCTCCCAGAGCCATATTTCTGAAGTTTGCCTGTGGGTGAGGATGGCCTGAGAAGGCTCCAGTATTTCTAGAAAACAGCCCTTTACAGCTGGCCTTCTTACTTCCTATCAAGCTCCTGATCTGTCAACTGCCACAAGCTGAGTTTGTTTGTTTGTTTGTGTTTGTTTGTAATCATGCAGAGAACCTGAGCTTCTGTTCACATACATCTTGGATAGTGATGGACACTCAGACACACTTACTGGCACTACCTTATCACCCGCCCATATCATGATGGGACATTTTCCACTAAAGAAACAGGTCTCATTTTCTTTTATAAATAACTTTTTCCCCTGATTATTGAAATAATGCATGTTCACTACAAATAGTCTTGATACACAGAGAAAAATATTCAGAAGAAAATAAAATACCCTTAATTCTACCATATAGCCATACATAACTGTTATTTGGTAAATTTATATCCAATTTTTAACAATTGGGATCATATTATTTCTGTGTGTTGTTTTTTTTTCATTGTGCACCTAGAGTTTTCTTCCATCTTTCTGTCTTGTTCAAAGACTCTCTGAGATGCAAATGAGTATCACCCATGGCCACCTCTGCCTCAGGTCCATAAGCACCTACAATTTAGTGTCCCGAACTGGGTTCACACTCGAATCCCAGTGCCCAGATCTGTTCTCTCCCTAGTCCCTCTTAGCAGGTGGCAGTAAGAGAACAGGCATGGCCCTCCCAGTGGCAGAAGCCACTTGCCTTACATCGTCCTTCCATTCTGCACATTATTATTTTTTAATTAGGTTTTAGTTCTGATGGAACAATTCCATCTCAAGAATGAAGACCATGCATCTAAAATCAGAGCTGCTCTAACTCCTTTGGCTAGTGAGTGGGAAATGCAATAAAGGCTTGCTCGTCAGGAGGCTGTGTGGTTTGGGGGGAAATGTCCTAACCCAAACCTGCCATTTACTGGCAGTGGGACCTGAGGCACATCACTTACCCTGAGTCCCAACTATCAACTGTGACTGAAAGCAGCCACCCAAATCGTTGAGAATTACACACTAAGATGTATGTGGTGCACCCAGCACAGTCCAGGCACCCAGTAAATGGCAGGGCTGGCTGCAGTGGCAGCTGCCGTTGTCTGTTTGATCTTCAGCACCTCAGAACATCGCACATCACCGATTCCCTCGTCAGGACCTCAGCCCATGTCTCTTTGGCCACATTCATTATGGTGGTTCTGTGACAACAGACAGGGAGACCCCTCGACCTCACACACATCCTCATCCATGTACAATCCTAAGGGTGTGTTACTTATGATAAGAGCCTCTGTAGCAGGTTAGTGCCAGGTATTGGAAGTTCTTAACCAAACCGAACAGACCATGAGGCTCAAAGGGCCAGCCGTTTGGCCTTCTTTTCCATGAAAGGGGCGCATCAGTTCTTCTTTCGTGCATAATTAGTGGCTCAGATCAGGTGCTTCATTTGAAAGTAGCCCAGCTGTTCTTGCCATGGCTGACTGGAGCAGGGGTAGTCCATGAGCAGAAGCAGCCATCTGTGTGCTGGGTAGGAAGGGTCCTGCCCAGGAGATTTTGCTATATCAGGGGTGGTGGTAGGTCTGATCCACTTAGGTCTGCTTTCTGTACGGGATACAGACTTGGTGAACAACAGTGCTGTGGATCTTTCCAGTTTGCTGCTGCTCCAGTCTGGTTTGCAACATCCTCTGCCGTGCTTCCCAGTCCTGGAAATCTGGGAAGAGTGGAATGCCCTGGCCTGCCAGCCTAAGATAACATGACTCCCGGGGAATTTCCTCACAGTCCAGTGGTTAGGACTCCGCGCTCTCACTGCCAAGAGCCCGGATTCAATCCATGGTCAGGGAACTAAGATCCTGCAAGCCATGCGGCACAGCCAAAAAAAAAAAAATGACATGACTCCCAAGCTATCACATTCAATCCCTGCATCCACGCTCCTGAGGTCAGTCGGAATAGGCTCCTCTTCTTTTTCCTTAATTGGATGTTTCTCAAATTACGAGCATAACACAAGCTTATTTTAACAAGTGAAATGACACAATACATGATATACAAAGGCAAAGCTGATCATCTCCCCCAGCCCCAACTCCTATTCTCAACTCCTTGATGTAACCAACAATGTCAGCCTTTGTATCCTTCCACACCTTTCTCTTCACTCAAACAAAGATACACATACATATATATATATATAGGAGCTGGATGGTTTGTTTTTATGGAAATAGAACCTGTCATACACTATTTTATGACCTTTTTTTTCATTTAACGTATCATGGACATCTGTACAAAATATGTAAGTACGTGTGTGTGTGTATACATGTCTTTTAAAAAGATTCTAACATTCCCTAGGAATATCTAGTCTATGTAGTTTTAGGAAGTTGTCAAAACATAACCCAATCCAGTTGATCTTTCAGACCTGAGGTCTCTTTTCCTCTTGCTAAATGTGTCCTACCCAAAGTGTTTCATCTTTCCAAACAGCACCCTCCCCTTTTGGCAAAATGCTCCTCCTCCTACTTCATATGGTCCTGCTGCAGGCGGCGAATCACAAAACCCACCCCTCTGGCCACAGAGGGAGCACCTGGTGGAGATGTCTAAGAAAATACTGCTGGCATGTGGACAGATGCAGAAATGGGAAGCAGAGACTAGGGATACTGATGTGCTCCCAGGACGCGGGCCTAATTCCTAGTGGGCCCCATTCCTACAACATTTCCTTTGGTTCTGTGAGTTACACCAGGATTTGTAAAAACACACAAAACCTCCTTTTTTGCTTAAACTGGTCTGAGTTGGGTTTCAGTCCCTGGTAGCCAAGAATCCTGACTAAAACACTCACCCTTTAGAATACAGCTTTCTCTTGAGTACTGCTTAACCCATAGATGAAAAACATTTCCTGCACATATTTTTCTTTTTAATTTTCAACAGCTAAAAATAATAATAATCCCATGTTGGGGATTTGTGCTTGATTAGTAGAAAGTTCTGAAATACTTCCATGGATAACACTAGAGTACAGCTTCCAGCGATGCTTTAATTCTCCTAGGGCTACTTCGCTGGCAGAATAATGTAACTGTTGTATAACCATGTTCCACAAGAAAGGGGAAAACTTAATTACCACTTGGTTTCTTCATTGGAACTGCCAAAATGGCACCAGTTCAATGTTTCTGCCTATTAACATTGTTAGGTTACCATCCATGTTTTTAAATAAAGTCAATACAGAGACAGTCAAAAAATCAGTCTGGATTTATGTAATATACTTATTCACTTCTATTTTTGTTTTCAGATGAAATTAACATGAAAATATATTCTTAGTTCACATGTTACCCCAAGCTGTCTATGAAAATATAGTTAGGGAAGGAAGAGTCAAGAGGGTGGTGTGGGAAGACGCAGAGTTAGCGCCTCCCCATAACTAGGGCACCTGCCTGCTGCTGGTGGGGGACTCTGATGCCCAAGGAGACAGGAGGAACCCCAAAGTGAACCGGTAGGACGTAGCGGGGCTGAGGGCAGAGAAGAAGTGGAGGTCAGACAGGATTGACGCCCCTGAGGCTGGTGAGATCAGGAGAGGCAGGCAGGAGGGACTCTCTGGGAAGCGTGGGAGAGGAGCAGAGCGGGATCGCCTGGCCCACTTGGGCAGGGGAGCCTGCTGAGCTCCCAAGCCGGTACCTGCCCTCCAAACCCCCCTCCAGGCTGCGTCGGTCCTTGGGGGCATAGGAGGGAGGCTAGGGAGATCAGTAGAGGCACGCAGGAGGGGCCCTCCCAGACCAGAGGAGAGGAGAAGAGGGCGTTTGCCCCACCCACTCAGTCCAGGAAGCCTGCTGGGCTCCCAGGTGAGGTCCCCTACCATCTGAGACCAGAGGTGGGGGGCACACCTGGGTCCCTTCTGTTCCTTGAGCCTAAGCTCCACCCCCCCACAGCCCCCAGGGCCTTTCCCAGCCCCACGGGTCCTGAGCATTGGCCCCACCCACTACCCAAACCTTGCCTTTGCTTAGGCCCCGCCCTCCACAGCAAAGGCCTTCCCCGTCCCCACTTT